GCGCCCTACACTGCCCGCACTTTGTCTCTCTGCGAGTCTTTCTCTCTTTTTTCCGAGGTTGCCTCTGCTTCTGATTTAAAGGCACAGCGGGGGGTTGTGGGTTGGGACTCGTGCTGCGAAGGATCTCTCTGGCTCGGTCAGCGCTGAAGGTCAGACACACTCATGATTAGAACCACAGGATGACACTGAAGAGGTGGAATATAAAGAGGGCTCACATTAACTTAAATTCTGTTCGCTCAGCAATGTTTTCGGTGACGACGGACAGGCCATTAAATAAATAGGGCTCACGAGAGAGAAGGGGAAACAGTCTGCCCGCTCGCATAGTTTCTACGGCTTCAACACATGGCAAACGAAAGCAATGAGGAGAGATTTCAAGTGTCGAGAATTACCTTATAGCAGCTTAACGCTAGGAACTCTGCCGATTACATCAATCAATTTGATAATTATGCCGCTGGAAGTGACAAAGCTGTCATCCCTGAAAACCTATTTCGGTGCTGACTGCCTTGTTGACGCTTCACTCTCATTTAAATGAGACGAACCCCTGACTGATAAAGCGAAACAAACAAAAACAAGAGTATGAAAAAGAGAGCAATCATCTGTTTCTTTGAATGGAAAACTCCTGGAGCCCAGATGAAGCCTTTTCCTTTTCTCTTTCGCATTTCTTTTCTTTTTCTTTTTTTTTTAGTTGGAAGCATGAACATGTTTCAAAAGTCGACCAAAGAAAATAGCCTGCGGACAGAAATGGCCAATCTGCATATTGAAGACTCAACAGAGGGTGAGGGGAGGGAAACAAAAAGGAGACAAAGTCCCTCTGTAAATGACTCGGGGTTGATCTTAAAGAAACAATAATGTCAATTAGCTGACGGTGTCGTGCTCATTATGCTGGATTAATTGCAGCATTGCAGCAACAACTGAAACAGATTATATTCTCCATTGTCGAGCAGCTCCGTGGAGAGTGTGGGAGGGGTGAGGGGGAACAGCGAGAAAAAATGTGCATCATAAGAAGGCCTCTTCACCCAGCTTCCTTCATGAATAACAAATAGAGGACCCAGTGCTGTGACCAGCCAGCACAACACATGAAAAACATTACTGCCTTCCCTGACTCGTCTGGTTTTCTCAACATTATGCTGGTAGGCTGGAAACATGTGAAACACTGCCGTGCTTTTGTGCAGCTTCTCTTAGCGTTGTGTTCTTTTAATGAACACAACGGAGAAATAAACTGGTTTTAAAAGCTGTGGAACGAATAATCATTTAACCATAGCTTGTCCGAAAACATTGAGCAGGAGATGCTTTCTAACTGCTAAAATAATCTAATTAGTTCATTAATGCAACTGACTTTTAATTGTTATCTTAGTATGTAGACTCTTGACGGAGCATGTTATGGAGGGGGGAAAAAAGCATTTAAAAAAGTCAATCCAGGATAAACGTTTGGGCTCTGCTCTGCTACTTTGAGCAGACTCTTAATATTTCTCAGTTGCTTACATTCTGCTGGTGAGGCAAGGTAGGGGAAACAATATTTACACGTAACATTATTAATCAAAGTCTAGAAGGAGTAAACAGAAAAGTCTTAGGGTTTGATTCTAAACATGCTGTTGCTTAGATCTGCAGTTTCGCAGACGTTTGCCTCACAAATGTGGCGAATAAAACCTGCATGCAGCTTTTCAATCTGTAGATCGAACTCTAGAGACACGAAGCTGTTCCTGATGACTGGAGATGGATTAAAGGTTCATAATGCACCCAAAGATCTCATCTGCACTCCGGCTCAAAACCGTTTTGGGCTTAATAGTCTACCGGACATATTTCAAATCTATACTTTCGTGGCCCAATGTGCAATGTAGAGATTTTTGAACTGGAGTGATAAGACCCATTTTGCTGACCTTAGTAAGGACTTGAGAACCAGATTGAGCTGTAGTGATCCACTGTTTGGGTGGAATAGTAAATGCATGTTTATACATTACAATTCCTGTGTTTTTTTTTATATAAGATGAGTTTACTGTTCAGTTCTGAGTTTTGAGTCTTGGTTTGTGTTTTTCAATATTACAATATTTTATTTGACTCCAAAGACGATGGAATCATCCACTTGTTTCTGTTGTGAGGATGTTTAATGAGTGTTTGCTACAATCCCTGAGCGACGTGGTGATGCAGACTGTGTGTTGTCTTTTTGCATAATCAAAGCCGGAGGAAACACGCACATTTGGAAGAAAGGAACCCCCAGAATTTAACCCTGGGGAGCTCCCCATTCTGTATTGATTAAGTAACATTACCAGGTTTAAAAGCTATTAATGAAAAACCGCCAGAACATTACACTGACACACTTTCATATATTACTGTCCGGGTACCAGGCTGAGACGGCAAAAGCAGTCAGAAGTGTCAGTTTTAGTCAGTTGAAATCCTGATTTATGCACAATTATCCACACAGAAGGATCAAAACTTAACATTTTTCAACCTGTCAGAATGTAAAAAGGGCAAAAGGGACATTAGTATGTTGGCTCCTGGCGCTGGATGCAGAAGGAGGTGAAGGATCTGATGAAGAAGAAGCAAGAAAGGAAGAAAATCTTTGTGGAAGAAAGACTTTTGTTTACTGCTTACTGCTTAGGAGAAAACTGTAATTGTGTTTTATTTTGTTTTATTTCTAATTTTTATATTATGTTGCTATTTTTAAATGGTTCAATGTGGATTATTTAGAAACTGTGACTTTTAACATCCATTCATCACGTAAATATGTAGACCAACGAGCAACAATACTCATTGCTTTTTAAAAATTGAGTCTAATTTCATTTTTATGAAAGAGTTAGTATTAACGTGGAAGCTTTGGAAGTTTAGTTTTCCGGTTATGGATCTGTGCCCAGAAGTTTTTGAAAAGGTGGCATAGTTTCAGGAAATGAGAAATAAAAACTGTAAGTTAGCTGAAACGGCCACTATGAAGAAGAGTTTGACCAACCTTCCATAATATTTCAGGAATAACATTTAATAAACATTCACTTCTGCTTACATGGATTTTTATAAGGACTCTTTTACCTACCATGTTTCATACTGTCTGAGGAGAAAACAATCTGAAAGATTTGGAACAAACCAAAACACGCATGGTGTTCTTGCCAGCTTACTCATAAAGAACTCTTTTAAAGCTTCGGTTAATGATTTAACAGCTATGGCTGAAGCCATAAGTTCTAACACAAGGACTCTTGAATAACTGCAAGGTGCTCTACAACGAGTGTGTCCCTCAAGTCATGCATGCCACCGGTTTAAGTTATGGGGCCGCTGACACGGTGTGTAAACACATCAGATCCTGGGATCTGCAGCTTATGGTCCTGTCCAGAAAGTGAAGTTATGAGTGAGATGTTACAGCTTTCTTACTCTCAAATCCTTTTAAATTCTCCCAGCTGCTGTGTTAACTGGTGAGTCACTGACCTTAAGATTTCACAACCCCACAAAAGAATAACAGTTGGACAACATTTGTTGACTACGTTTTTGGTTGGAGATGTTTTCCTTTATAGTCAGTATCTCCTATAATTGGATAAGACTAAAGGCAATTTGGAGCATAATTGCTGAGCTGAACATAATGACTGCAAAGTGAATTTCAATGCTGTGTTAATGGTCTCACTTGAGGGAAGGAGGATTTGAGTCTATTTATCTTTCACCTTTTGGGCAAGATCCAGGATAAATCCGCTGAAAAACATAAATTAGCAGCAAGCTGACAAGACCGCACCTGGGTGTCTCCTCGGCACACAGAACTCCGTGTGTCTCAGTCGATGCCTCTCACTCTCTTAAGGCCCGTAAAAGCGAGGCAAAGCCGTGGTAGAAAATTCCCAACGACACGTTTATTAAACGGTCCATCCATAAACTGACCGAGCGTGGAAACGTCCCGGCAGTTTGTGTTTTTCAGGGTGGAAAAATCGAACTGCTGGAAGTTTTCTGTGTGTACCCTCCGGTGTGCGCGTCACGTCACTGTGGCCTCTCCGTTTTTATGTGAAAAGGGGAACCCATTAAGATGCAAGAGGCGTTCAAACCTCTTGTGTACCCAAAGGCGATCTAACTAGCCTCGATTCAGACCTCAACCACTCCGATTTGGTCATTTGGATAAACACGCTAAATGACGACTTTTCCTTTTTTTACTTCATTTGGTAAATGACTCTTTTACTAAGTAGTATAATACTTTAATTACCAAAGAGTTGTTTATATATAGGCTATATAAGTGAGGCGATAATCACCATCATGTTAACAAGTTTTCATGAGGTGAGTTGTAACCTGCTCTTTTTCCTCATATATTAAATCCTTGTCGTATCATTGAAGTCACAAGTGCTAAAAAGGGTACATTCAATTAGTCATTTAATGGTATTTTAGAGCAAACCGAAGCCTTTTTTCCCGGCAGAAGAACTCCGTGCGCCAAGTGCAAGACGCACCAACTCTAAGACGCACCAGCTTTCTCAACATTGTGGTGTTGTGGTGCGTCCAATCAGAGGAAGCCCTGCAGAACCTTTCTATTGTAATTGGATGGCGAGGGGGAGAGGAAAACGCAGCCTTGGCACAACGTAAACTCGCGCTCGTCTCCTTCGCTCTGTAGAAGACGCTCCGGATCCAGCAGATGTAGAGAACCAAACAATCGAACGGACGGCAGACACTTTACGGCTTTTGTTTGACATATGTAATATCCTTCAAAGCGTCAAAGACAGAGAAGAAAACAGATAGGTAGGCTTTTCAGTTTGTCAAGGATCAAATAAGGTGTGTCTTTTTTTCATCTCATAAGTGGATTACGCACAGCGGAGCACCTGGGACAAAGAAAAAAGTTCTTAAACTATCATTTTTGCGCACAGGATCGGGTCAAGAAGTACTTTCTCACGTACGTTACAACATATATTTCTTCTACTAAACCCCCCAGCTAATGCTGTGTGGAGTGAATTGGCACTTCTTTTTTTAAATGATGGAAATGGATTAGTGCAAAGCTGGACTCGTAAACAAATTCCAGAGGAGAGAAACACATTTGAAGATATATGCTGTGGGGGATGGCAGCTGCCACCTCGAGTCCATACCTCGCCAGCAGCAGGATTCTGTCCGGCCCGGTGGTCCACTCTGACCGGAGAGGTGGCGGCATGCAGCCGGGGAGCACGGCCGCGACCACGGTGTCCAGTGGATATAGAGGAGACCCTTCCGTCAAGATGGTGCAGAGCGACTTCATGCACGGGACCATGGTGTCGGGCAACGGGGGGCACATGCTCAGCCATGCCCACCAGTGGGTCACATCCGCGGCGGCCGCGGCCGCGGCGGCGGCGGCGGAAGCCGGCTCCCCGTGGCCCCCCGGCCCCCAGCCGCAGGACGGGAAGAGAAACGCGGTCAGGGAGGACCTCCACTCGGGCTCGGCTCTGCACCACAGGTCCCCGCACCTGGGACCCCACCAGACGCACCCGGGGAGTTGGGGAGGCGCCTCTTCGGCGCACATCAGCATCACCGAGGGCCAGCAGCAGCAGCAGCAGCCCCTCATTTACTCACAGCCCGGCGGATTTACAGTCAACGGGATGCTCAGCTCGCACACCGGACAGAGCCTCATGCACGCGGGGCTGGTGCGCGGGGAATCCCCCGAGCTGGATCACGGCAGCCACCAGCATCACCACCACCACCACCACCACCACAACCACCACGCCATCCACCACCAGCACCACGGGGTGAGCCACGATTCGCCCTCAGACGAGGACACCCCGACGTCCGACGACTTGGAGCATTTCGCCAAACAGTTCAAACAGCGGCGGATCAAGCTGGGCTTCACCCAGGCCGACGTGGGCTTGGCTCTAGGCACCCTGTACGGCAACGTGTTCTCGCAGACCACCATATGCAGGTTCGAGGCACTTCAGTTGAGCTTTAAGAACATGTGCAAGCTCAAACCTCTGCTGAACAAATGGCTGGAAGAGGCCGACTCTACGACCGGGAGCCCGACCAGCATCGATAAGATCGCCACGCAGGGCAGGAAGAGGAAAAAGCGCACATCCATCGAGGTGAGCGTAAAAGGCGCCCTGGAGAGCCACTTCCTCAAGTGTCCGAAACCCTCCGCGCAGGAGATCAATTCTCTGGCGGACACTCTGCAGCTGGAGAAGGAGGTGGTCAGGGTCTGGTTCTGCAACCGCAGACAGAAGGAGAAGCGCATGACGCCGCCCGGACTCCCGCGCACTCCCGAAGACGCGTACTCACAGGTGGGCAGCATGGGGCCCGACACGCCGTCCCCCTCCATAGACTGCAAGAGGATGTACAGCGACACGTGAAAATAAACCCCAAAACACGGGTAGATCAGAACTATTTTAGAGAGACGTTTTCCTTCTTGATCATCTTGATCTGGGGACATGTTTTTTGAAAATGTATTTCTTAACATTTGCCACCCTTCCTTACGGACAGTGCTACTCAGAACAGGACAGATGTCAATCCTTATGCATCCTTGGGTATTTAAAAACACATTTTAATCTCCGCTGAAATCTGCACAGAAATGTTAAGTCTTTTAAAGACACGATTCGTTTACCAACCTCTGCAAAACATTTTCAAAGGCCACACAACCAAGTTGCTCAAACAGAAAAAGTTATTTCCTTATCTTCGTACTGTAGAAATGAAAGTTCCCTTTTAATGCTGCAGAATATCACACCCTATAAGTTAGACTGACCTGAAGCCTAAATGAAAGACGGTTATTTATTGGCTGTACTCAGCATCACATTTTTTTCCCTTTTGATAGCCAGCAATAATTTCTATCCATTCAAAAGTGTTTCTCATGTTTTGTGTTGTGTGGCTGTGGGTTTCTGTTGTGAAGCAGTTTATGGTCATTAAGTGATTTACCAATACTCAAATATTGTAGTTTTCTTTATAGAAAAGCATCTTTTTAAAATAGCAAACTTTCCCTCAAGTTGATGTTCAACTATGCCGTGTATTCTTGTGTGATGATTTGGACTATTTATTTTTTCCACTGTGTTTATTTTCTTGAAGACTGACCTATTTAATAAATTTGACATAAACATTTTGTTAAGGTTTTAGATGGTTATTTGAAAACTGCTCCGCATGCACACGCACCCACACTCGCTGTTTCATTTTCATATCACTGCACACTGGCTGATGTGAAATACCAAACACCACCTCTCACAAAATAAAAGTATTCAATTGCAACACATGAGTGTATTTCATGAGTTTCACACGCAACATATTTAGGGGTTCTAACAAGGGTATCCTGAAAGTGTTTCTGCTTTAGTTTGGTCAGTGATTTTTATTAATACACTGTGAGATCTGGCCGGGTCGAGGGTTAGCATACCAGACATCGTCACTATTTTTCTTATATACTTATATAAATATATATGTGTGTGTGTGTGAGTGTGTGTGTGTGTGGGTGTGTGTGTGTGTGTACTGAAACATTTGCAGATGGCCAGAAGATTCAAAATCGTTAACTGTGTCTTCAATCGGAGGAATCAGGTCGAAATGTTTTTTCCCAGATTTCAGATTAATTACAAGTTGTTAGCTGAAAACGCCTTTAGTTAAAAAGCATCACTTTTTTTTGGTTATGTCATGCTGACCCCATCAAGACCGACCCAACTCCCTACACCGGCCTGTTTGTGGGCTTAGCACCTACATCTCTCTGTGATACTCCGCATACGGGTCCAGCCACTGTGGCGGGGCGATGGACTGCAGCTTGATGGAACGCAGCCAGCGGAGGTCGGTAATCCCAGATGGCAGTTCACCTCGGCAGCGGTTGCCAAGGTGACAGCGAGATGGAGTGACATGAGGCAGCAGTGGATCCTTTGCCACAGATGATGGGTTTGGCAGATAGGCTGCGAGACGATCGGGACGGAGCACTTAAAAACGGTCGGCGTTTTTTTCCCTCTGCCTCGTCTGCAGGCAAACCGTGATGCATGCAAGCAGCCGTACACACACACACACACACACACACACACACACACGAGCCGATGCCAGGAAGTTCGTAAAGCAAATAAAAAGGAATGAGGCTTGGAAAGAGTCACACCGACCGTGCATTTAGGGGGAAACTAGCAGGGAGGTCAAAGGTCAGCTGCCACAGTAGCTGCTGATAAATCCCACAGAATGCCAAAGAAGAAAAAAAAAACAGGAAGTTAATGTGTTACTGTAAGTGTCACACTTTTTCTCAGTCCAGACGCTGCCATGTTGACATCTTTATGCAACGCCAAACCGGTCACTGACACCCACAATTTCGTCACCACTTTCACCTTGAAGGATCCACGATTAAGCTGCTGGTAAATGTAACCTTTGTTGCTGATGCCGGCAGCGAAGGGCCTTCAGTGGCTGTGTTTTTGTTGGTTGTTGTCCTTTGAATAAAAGCGTGGACAACATACACATCCAGCTCAAGGGCAGCAACTCATTTCAGAGAACTGGGCATTAAAAACAGAAGCTATATTTTGGGGGACACATAAAACAACATTTCAGTTACACAAAATCAAAACAAAAAATTGTATTTTTTTTTACGGACGAATGCAGAAAAACAGAGTTTTATCCTGTTGTGAACTGAAGCTGCCTGCTTGCTTGATTTGTGTTTGTATTTTACACTCATATTTGACACTTTTACAACATATGTGCCAAATGTTTTGTTTTCCACTGCTGTGCAATTTAAAATTGTTTTGTTTTCAATTTATTGTGGAGTTGTGAAAACACACAGAAAATAATACTCATTAAAGCAATTAGTGATGTAATTGAACTCCACCTTTCACATCTGTATATGAAGAATTATTCATGAAAAACTGCTTTGGATTTAATTGAAAATCGCAAAAGAGATATCTAACCCCCCACCCAAAAAAGAAATTGCACCTGTGGGACTTTAAAAAGGACTTATTCCCCATGAACTTGCACAATGACGTTTAACATGCACACACACTGTGGTGAGAGGTGGCAGTTGGTGCCCTGCTAACTGTCCCCATCAGCGACTGACTCTTAACATGATGTATTCCCACTGAGGTGCAAGATGAAAATGGAAGGAGAGTTTAAGCTTTCGGGATTGCGGCATGATCCCCTCAAAGCTTAGCGATGTAGAGATGGGAGATAAGGCTGGAATTGGGGGATAAAACAACGTTTAAAGGGGTTTTGTCATCACATGACGCTCGGTTGTCCGCACTGAATATCAATGTGAGGATCTGGAGCTACGAGCTGATGATGATACAGAGCGCCCCGGCTCCCCTATCAACAGAGCCGGCTCAGCACGCATAAAGGTGCACTAATCATGTCAGGAAGGGGTGCGTGCGTGCACGTGTTTCCTGGGCTCATATTTAACAGAGAGCATTGTTTCCTGCCTCTCTGTACCACAGGCGGACAAGCGAGGATGCTATTACCTCCTTCCAGTTGTAACTACTTAAATAATTGCTCATAATTGCTCTTAAAGCCGTGTTCAGAGACACTTTACATAAAGTAATTACTACACAATTAATCCCTGCTTTGATGCTGGTTGTTTGTGTATTGCGGTTTGAGCAGAGCCACACAGACAACAGCCACACCTGCCTCTATCCGACTGATCATTTGACGACAGCAAAGTTCTAGTCCACTGTTTCACTCCGGTTTGCACATAATCATTCCCTGCTGCTTGGTGTTAATTATTTTCACAAGGCCGGGATTGGTTAACCACCATGTCTAACACTGATTAACACACCCCGGCCTCTTCAATGCAACAAAATCCCACGAGTGTAGAAACTTACCTGGAATTAAAAGGCTCTGGGACGCACGGGCCAGAGATCCTGAAAAGCACATTTGAAATCTCCCTATTTGCTCGTGAGGGCATTAGAATGTCTGGTTTTTCCTCTCTAAATGTAACACAACTGGCTGAACAGGGCTCAGTCAATATTGTGTCTTGTGTGGGTTCTCACCTCTCCTGAATATTCTCATTTAGAGGGGGAACATTTTCACTTTCCCCGTGTTTGCTTTTCCGGGGTGATTGATGGAGCAGCTACCAAAGTCTCTCAATCAAGAATAAAATTAAAGCAAACATCTGTGGAAAAAAAATGGACAGGGAAATGAATTCTCTTCCCAGCAAGCTTGTTGTGCGGCTGCCGCTGAACGTGACGAGCATGCATGTGCTAGACCGCTGGAGTGGAACTCGTCTGATGGGCATGTTCAGCACGTTGGCACGATGCCAATTTAGACAAGCATCCCCACGAAAAGAATATCAGGCCGCATGCGAGGAGCGTGGATGTAGCTGTTTGTATGAATACACCAGATGTTCCAGGTTAGTCAAGAAAAAGACTTCTTCTTTTGAATGACTTGGGTGAAAAATCTCACTGGGTGATGTTTTGGACACGTTTTGTGTTTTATTTTAAATGGATCAAAGTGCGTCTGGGTAAAGCCCTACTTTACATTGCTTATTGTTGATCTGCAACGCACTCAAAAATACAGCAAGTTCGAGTGCAATTCAACTAAAAGCCCATTTCCACGAACACCAAAACATGCCAAACACGAGCTCTGACGGAGGACATGTGGAGGGCAATGCTGCCACCTTCTGGACAAAGCCTGAAACGCATGGACTTCCATTTGTGTGTTCAGGGCTCCTTCAATTTTAATTAGTTTTTATTTTTATTTCATTGTCATTTTCAGTAAGTACCAATATCTGATTGTGATGTCTATTTGCTGCCCTTCCCTATCATAGAAGAGTTAATGGCTTGGTATATTTGGTTTTTAACATCTATTTCTGTACACACACAGAGCCATTAGTTTATAGATGAATAGTTTGTAATCAAAGAAAAATTGCTTTGGGTATTTTTTGCTCTACAGGCTATTTATTTAAGTAAAATCCTTATTTAGCTGATATTTTTGTGTGCTGAGCAGCAGCAGTGATGATGAGGTTCACCCTGTATGTAGTGCTCCCTGTAGGATAGTTGCTGTTCATTAACTTCTTGAGTACAATTCTATAATCAGGGGAGTAGTAGGTTGGTGATAAATGCTAGTTTGGTCATTTGTTGATCCACAAATTCTGTGCCAAAATGTACAACCCCTCATCCTCCCTGACTGCTCCTTTAAATCGGAGACCACCTGCTCCTCTGGCGTCAGCATCACCCACAGGCGGCACGAGGGCAATCGATAAGGCAGACAAACGTTCTAAGTGAGATGTTTTGGAAAAAATCTCAGCATGCACAGGAGAAAACACACTGACAGACAATCCAATGCCCCGACGAAACATCGAACCTGCCATCAGGTGTAACGGCGGAGGTAAGTTTGCGGTGCTGTTTGGGGCTGGGAGGACACGGTGCAGAGCCTGTTGGATTATTGTGTTGGTCGGTACTCAGAGAGCAGACGGGCATTTTGTTTGCCGTGACTCGCTTTGCTGTGGTGCAAGGGGAGCGGACAGGTTCAGGGAGCGCTGCGTGAGCTCTGCAAAGGAGGACCGAGACGCACGAAATGAGCGATCATCTGCGTGAAAAAGGAGGTTACGGTGCTCCGCATCTAAAATGGCCCAATTCCCCCCTAAATCTGCATGAAACCGAAGCTGTTAAGAGGCCACGCTCGGTCTGGTTTCGTCTCAAGGTTCCATTGTTGCTGTTTGGATTTGATCGGATTGGCACGATGGTCCTCTCACTCCACTGTCAGATCTTGAGCTTGCTGACCACACCTGATATTGTGACCTGACATGGAGACGACCATACTTATCTGGTTATCGCTCGTCCCCAGAATTAGTTTTCGGAGACAGTCTAATCATGATTGACAGCTCCGCCGAGCAAATCCTGCAATAATATTTAAAAAAAAGAACATTTTGTAAAAGACGCTTGCATCAGGGGGGAGGATGAGAGTATGGGGCTGCTTGTTGCCATGGAACTGATGACCCTGTTGCCATGGCAACAGTCAGCATCACTATGCAGTGGCTTAAATGGGGTCTTGTGCTAGAATGTGTCTAAAGTCAGTGAAGGAATCGGTTTATGCCGTCTGACACCGCCGCCACTCAGGACAAAACACACACACCGAGGCGCCCAAACCTCTTTGTTTTTGATCAAAAGAGAGATTGACACGAGAGCTGTACTCCATTTATCTGCCTTCACCGGCAGACGCACAGTCACGAGCAGCACCCGCCACAACAGACCTGTTAGATCAGACTGGAAGTGAGGAGCACATCGCCCTCAGTAACTGGGTCGCCCTCGCCTCGCCTCCTGCACCGCATCTGATCCATAAAAGCCATTGCGTTCTGGTCAGATTGTACACATTAGACCACGACTTAAGCCACAGAGGGGAGATGCCTCTGTTTGAACAAAGTTGCATCATCATTCTTCAGTCTTTATCATGACCAAGCGCGTGCTAAGCTGCCATCTGACTCCACCCTCGCTGCGGAATATCTGAGTGCATTCCTAGTCATGTGTGAAACACCACAGCTCGGCTGTTAATCATCAACCTGCTCTGAGCCAAGTGAGTAGCGCGTCCCTGCTCTGCGCGGCTATAATTCTCATTATGGTGGGTCCCGTGGTTTATGTAACTCTTTTAGCATCATATGAACGTCATTCCTCCTCTCATGTTTTCTGTTTTGACTGACTAACCACGCAGAGAGCTGCTGAACCCCCGTCTGACTCTCTGATGAGACACCCAGGCCTTTTCAGATTTGCTTGGCTTGTTTACCACAGCTTAGTAATGTGTACCGCTAATTCAGACATAGAAAACGTTGTTAGATATGAACTTAGGTTTTCAACTCTTGTTTGTTTAGTTCCACAAACTGCTCAATAAGGATGTTTTCATCTGTCTGTCTCAGGTGTGGCCATGGAACACCGTCTGCTGGAAAACATCTTGGCGTGTTCACCGCCACAGTAGTCGAAAAATGTGTATGTTCCTCTGGGCTGTTGTTGCTTAACTGGAGCGGCCATGGCTTTTTGTAATGAAAGCCTGCTGGAGGAGTGTGACTTCTTGGAGCCGGGTGTAGAGGGAACCGCCGAGAGCCTCCCGCCTGAAGCTGCGACCCCCCTCATATCAGTCACCCTGCGGGTGACCCTGGCAGCCATAATGATCTTCATGATTACTATCGGTTTCCTGGGAAATGCGATTGTGTGTCTGATTGTTTACCAGAAGCCCGCCATGCGCTCGGCCATCAATCTCCTCCTGGCCACGCTGGCCTTTTCCGACATCATGCTCTCGCTGCTCTGCATGCCCTTCACCGCCGTCACCGTGGCGACGGCCGACTGGACCTTCGGGACCGGCTTCTGCCGAGCCTCCATCATGCTGTACTGGCTCTTCGTGCTGGAGGGGGTGTCCATCCTCCTCATCATCAGCGTGGACCGCTTCCTGATCATCGTGCAGCGGCAGGACAAGCTGACGCCGCACCGGGCCAAGCTGCTGATCGCCGGCTCCTGGGTGCTGAGCCTGTGCGTGTCGCTGCCCTCGGTGGTGGGCTGGAGGACGGGGGCGGCGGGGATCGGCGGCGCCTGGGCGCCCCAGTGCGTGCTGGGATACAGCGAGTCCCTGGCCGACCGCGGCTACACGGTGCTGCTGGCCGTGGCGGTGTTCTTCGTGCCCTTCGCCGTCATGCTGTACTCCTACCTGTGCATCCTCAACACGGTGCGCCGCAACACGCTGCGCATCCACAACCACGCCAGCGAGCGCTCCTGCCTGCCCGCCCTCAGCCAGGTCAGCAAGGCCCGGCTCACCGGCCTGCAGCGCCCGCCGCAGATCAAGGTGGACATGAGCTTCAAGACCCGGGCCTTCACCACCATCCTCATCCTCTTCGTGGGCTTCTCGGTGTGCTGGCTGCCGCACACGGTGGTCAGCCTGCTGGCCGTCTTCAGCCGGCAGTTCTACTACAGCTCGGTCTTCTACCCGGTCAGCATCGGGGCGCTGTGGCTCAGCTACCTGAAGACGGTCTTCAACCCGGTCATCTACTGCTGGCGGATCCGCAAGTTCCGGGAGGCCTGCCAGGAGTTCATCCCCAAGAGCTGCAGACTGTGTCCCCGGGTGCCCGGCCGGAGCCACAGGCGAGTGAGGCCCAGCAACATCTACGTGTGCAGCGAGACCCAGTCCACCGTGTGAAGCAGCGGGCGGGGCAGGGCGGCCGTCCACAGCCGGCCTCCAAACCGGACGTTCACTTTCAAAAGACGCTTTTCTTGTCAGCGAAAGGTAGCGCAAAAAAGAATGAACCCTCAGCCGTAGCGTTAAGGGAAACTCCTTCTTGTATACTCACGAAAGTATATTAGAAAAAAAAATTTGATTGTGATTACACCTATGAACTCCAATCTGCTGAGGAGGGTCATGTGAAACATTCAAAATGTCCAAAATAGCCGTTGAATAGATCACGCTGTGAGATTAATTTGTTTACTTGGTTTCATAAATGAATACAATTTCAGTGTCTGCTGACTTAACTTTCTGATCAGCAGTCGTTCTGGCTGTTTTATAACTTTCACTAGAAGTTTCTTTTTTATGTCACTCTGTCATCTCTGAACTGTTATGCTGTCGTTCCAGGCTGTGAACTCAGTTCCTACTCGGAGACAAGTGAGCTGTTGTGGTGAAAACTATTCTGTTGTCAGTCGTGTGTTGAGTTTTGGAGCAAAGGCAGACGATTTTAATGTTGTCAAAATAACTGAATGAAATTTGTGTGTACATGAAACTTTTGTCAGACCACTCTGTTATTTCTGATGTTTTTTTTAAATGTTTGATCGAACTGATTGACTTTCTTGACACATGAAGCTAGGACAATAAACAGGTTTTCAATACTGAATTACACTTCCACATTGTAGTTTTCTTTTTTTTTTCTTTTTGTGACATTTATAGCATTGCTGGTTCTAAAAATGTTGGCATGGCTGTGTAAAATGTACATTAATGATAAGCAGCCACGTCTAATTTGAATCCCTTATTATTTAGAAACAATGCATTTATTATTTGTCAAACGTTGGAACTGAGTTTTATTGTTGATAGTTTGAATTTGATGCCAACACTTCACAAAAACATTGCTTTGGCATTCTTCATTCATACAAGATCTCAGACGCTTGTGTTTTGGCCCTTTTTGGTCACATTTTTCCTATCATAATGTGGCAGATATGAATTAAGCAGTAAGGAATAACTGACTAAGCCTGACGTAATTTTTAGTGAAGAACCCACTAAATGTGTATGTGTGTGTGGTTCTTTGTCTCTGTGTGGCCCAGTGATGGACTGATGACCAGGGTGTTCCCTGCCTCTCATCCAATGTTAGCTGGGATGGGCTCCATGGAAGAATGGATGGATTTGTTTGAACACTCCACAATTTTCTGCTTTAAGATAGTCCACGTCAAATAATTGAAAGTAGGAGAGGAAGTTAAATGTGCCTGGATCTGTTTTTAAAATGATTATTTATTTTTCTAACTAAATGTCGCTGAAAGTCATGACGACACACTTTACAACACTTAGAAAGGCATCCGTCCATCAAACCAACTGAAAGTCCCTGATCACTCATGCCTTTATGTATTTCTTGTTTCACCTGGATTCCAGCCTGATTCTGAGACATTTCTTGGGGCGGTTCACATTTGACCGACAGATGAAGTTATCTTGGAGGAAAACAAGGCTTCGATTTTCAGATATGAAGCTAGAAATATTCTTAAATATATAGGAAATTGATGTAACTAGTTTTAATTAGTTTAGTTAGTTTTAATTAGTTTTGAGGATCTGCAGTGTGTTCAGCAGATTCATTAGCTGTCAGTGATGATATCAGCGATCAAAGTTATATTAAATGAACCGATGGCAGACCACTGATTTCCTTTGAATTAATTGATAACTGTAATGAGAAAATAATCAGTGGACAGGTTCCTTAAAGTTTCTCAAGGAACGGAGAGCCAGGAATCGAAGGTGTAGGCTCCTTTGTCATTTGATATAAAGAAAGCATCAAAGTTCCTCCAGCCAGGTGACATGAAAATGCTTGTTTTTGTCCAGTGATGATCACATATCCACAGATCCCACAGCCTCAGAGTAGCTCGGCTACATTTCTGATGTGTTGGGAGCAACTTTCCAATTTCTGGTATTGCACTTCAGTCTGCATTAACAGATGTCACCTGTCTTTTCCGGTTTGTGAGATTACCAGAGGCATTCGGGCACCCAAGAGAGGTTGTGTTACCTTTATCCTGCTGTGTTCAGCCTCTACTGGCCATCATTCATTACCTCTAGTTCTTTGGCTGTGATTGAGGTGCCCAGTGGTGGCTGTCACAGATAACAGGATAAATTGAGTCCTGAAGCTAAAGTCGCTTCTGTGATTCTGTTATCTGGTAAGTTTTTCACTAGTTTATGTCAAATGTCAACCCTATAGTCATGTTTTTCATCTGAAAGGCAGGAATTACGGCAGGGTGGTATTAGCTGTCAGTGTTTTTTTTCTTCAAAATCAAGCTTGTTCAATGAGATTAAATGATTGGTCACATTTTTCCTATCATAATGTGGCAGATATGAATCTTAATCATTTAGATCTTATTCTTTAAATTATTCTTGAAAAATATTTTTCCTCCATGCTTTCGTTCGTTCAAATGCAAGAGTGATGGTTTTGCACTTTTTACATTACCATGACTTTGTTTTGCTTTCAGTCAAGGAATGAGGCTTGCTAACTAAATTACCATCAACTCTGTGACAGTCACACAAGAACTCATGACAACCTTGCGATAACCCCTGACTTCTTAATGTGGAGCTCATGTTTGCTTCTGTATTACAGTCCTAACCTAATCACCTGTCAAGAGCTGATTCTAACCAATCATTTAATTGGTCAGACGTCAGAGGAGGGGGCTTTTCCCTTCTCTGGAGCGCCAATCCTTTCACACAATACAATTAGCCAGTTTAAGCTGTTTAAAACTAAATCCACATTGGTACAAATTCCCATCTGAGTTACAAGCAGCAGTAGCTGTGAAAACCTTTATTTTAAGGCTGCAGAGACAAAGGTGGATTGTTTGCTTCATAGCTTTAATGAGAGGGATGTGAGACCGATTTGTTTGCGGCAACCTTGTGCAGAAGAGATGCTTGATAACTGGAGTGGTATTTCAAATATCAATGTCCTGCTCTTCATATTAGTGTTTGTCAATAAATACACAATGGGGTGTTCCTATGACTATTTTCAAATATACAGTAGTCTGATTCTTTTCAGGGAAAAGGAGAGTAGGGTGTGTTGTGAGGTACATTCCCCAAACTGGGGATCATGGGTGACATTGCTTAAATGTGTCTTGAACTCTAGCAAATGTCCACATTGAATCACATAAAACAACTTTTGTAAAGATTTTATGGACAACGTAAGACATTTTTGTAAAGCAAAACAACAGATTCTCTTAATGACTCTTTTCAGGATACAACCTGACAAACTATTCAAATATTCAGCATCATTTTATGTGTTTGCATTATATTATACTCAAAGAATTTACTCTATATTTGGAGAAAAACAGTACGTTCTAACCACTGCTGCCTCACAGCAAGAGGGTTCCCGGTTTGTGTCCCCCAGGGGGACCGGAGCTTTTGTGTTTGGAGTTTGCATGCGCTCCCTGTGTCTGTGTTTGTTCTCTCTGGGTCTCTCTGGCTCCCTCCCACTGTCAAAAACATGCATGTGAGCTTAATTTTACATTCCAAATTGCCCTTAGGAGTGAAGGTGAGGTGGTTGTGAGTGAGTGTGGTTGTCTGTCTCAGTGTGACTGGTGACCTGTCCAGTTGTTTCCAACCTCCCATCCATTGTCACCTGGGATTGTTTTAATTTGATTTAATTGAACAGATTATATTTTTGGGCTCATGATGGGAATTAACATGATCGTATTACATAATGAAATCATCAGTTTGTTCAAAGCTATTCCAACAAGTGAAACTATGCTAAAAAACTAAACTATGCCTCTGAAACATTTTAAGAAATTGTATTGACACATTGGAAGAAAAAAAATGAATTGAAAATATTAGACACGAGCAAAGTAGATAAACGAAAGCCATTTTGGAGCACGATAGAATGTTCTGACCAATTATTATTCGAGGAAACAGGGTTAAGTGGGAACTGCATCCAGCAGGTGGCGGTAGTGGTGCTGCACCGGGAACCACGTCGGTCAAACTCAACGAAGAAGAACAGTGGCACCAAACATGGCAGCAAACATGGCGGCTGTCGTGGGACAAAATGGAAAGGCTGTTGAGAACTCCAATGTGGATCTCTTACTGCACCCAGAGCTGCTGTCGGAAGATTTTATGCAGCAAATCTTAGCCGAGGTGAGTCTCGAGTTAGGGCGGAACGTTTCACGCGTCTGTGTGAATGTGGACGCAAATGAAATTGCAGTACATCAGCTATCAGTCGGAATGGATGTTTGTTTATTTCGGGTCTCAACGCTTCTCTTTACGACTGCCGTTGAGGAATGCCTTGCTCATCGGGGTGAGCTGGTTGTATTCTTCCTCTGATGTAGAGAAACGTCAGTACCGGCGACTGTGGAAGCAGGGACCAGCTCACAGAACTGTTCCTGCGACATGTCATCCCGCTGCCGCAGAGAAGCCTACCGAACACCCGCTGGGGACGGAGAATGGAGCAGAGCCGGGGGAAGCCCAAGTCGGCTGAACACAGGTCAGAAAAGTCACCGTTCACAACACAGATCGGAGATTTTGAGGAGAACCGACATGTCTCAATGATAGCCCGCAGCTTTAGTATTCTCTCCTAAGCAAACAAAGTTTGGCAGTATTCAGTCATGCCAAGAGTCACATGTAAGTCAGAGAGGATTAAGACAACTAAACAAGAAAAAAAGAGAGAAACAATTCATTACAACGAGCTTTTTTTATTTATTCATTTTTATTAATTGATACCATCTTAATCGATTTATCAAAAAACTAAAGGAGCCCACGATGTTACAGATATAATGATTTCATACAAAATGCATCACATTGTGACACAGTCCTTCTGTTGATCCTGTTATATATCCTGCACCAATGCCTGCAACTCTTTCCTGGCTTCTGTAGGGCTGAAAACGGCTGAGGATGTTGTAAAAAAATCAATGCACGAGCCACTTCTTTCTTTCTTGGACAGGAAAAAGCGACCACAGCTGTAGTCGGCATGCATTTGTTTTTGTGATTGCGTCAGTGTGAGAAGGAGAACTTTCAGGCAGGGGATGTGTCTTTGTCATGGAGGGGGAGAAATATAAGTATTCGGACGGCTATATAGGAGACATACTGTGTACCATGTTAGATTATATCAGTTCAAACTTTTTTAGCATTTGCAACAAATAAAGGCGTACTGGTTTAGTACAAAGTGAGATTGACAGCAACTCACACTCCTCCATCTAGTGAAACATGCTACTGGTAACCAGCAAGTCTTTGTGTTTGCCAAATTATCATCAAAAGATTTTTTACTTGTAAACACTTTAGTTCTTTCGAATCAGCATCTAATTACTCCGTTGTTATTTCCAGCCTGAGCAATGAGCTCAGAAGGAAAAGGCCTCTGATTGTGTTTGATGGGAGTTCCTCTTGCTCTGGCCCGCTGAAAGTGAAGAAGTCAGAGGGAACAACTGCCTCAGCCGGAGTTTCTGACAGGTTAAAGCCCCCCCCGGCTGCCAATCTGTCCAACCCCATCCGCAGGCTGTCAGGAAGCTCATCTTCTAGTTCCTCGTCCACGCATCGCAATACTGACACAGCAAACCTCAAACAAGACTCCAACTCATCGGTAAGAACTTCTTGCTCTGCCTTCACAGTTATCCCTGCCCAGCTGGCCCTTCTGTGCTGCTTGTGAGGATGATCACTTTCCAAATGGAAATGCTTTTAGAAATGGGAAACTTGATGCTTTGTAGATACTGTATTGATGTCTTCAAAAGAAGGATCTCCTCTAAACAATGTGTTAAAAAGACAAATGGCTAAAGAGAAAATATAAAAGCGGTTATGTTTTTAGCCTTTCTATTTTTACATTTTTTGAAGTCAGTGGACATATCGTTGATCGGTATACTGGACTGATTTAAAGTCGGCATAGGATGGTTGTTGATGTCTTATTTTCCGTCATTTTCAGGGGGGACTAAAGTCTCCGGAAGTTAAGAAAAAGATCCAGCATGTGACATGGCCCTGACCCATGATGGCAGCTCAGGCTTTTGTGGACCCCCCCCCCCACAGCACCAGCCAATTCCACAGCAGTCTCCCTTCACACTTTTCCAAGTGAACGATTCTCTGAACCCTTTAAGTTGTGTGTCCAGGCCACCCTGTCTCCTCACAGAGAAGTGCTCAGGGGATCCTCCAGCTTCTTGAAGTCACACGCTCATTTCTTGCTTTTCAGAACCTCAAGTGCCCTTGCCATCACTAAGATCAGCATGGCCTGTCACCGAAACAAGAGAGTCAGCTAATGTCTGTTCACGAGCCAAAGGCCGAGGGTTTAAGGATGAGCGGATGGCTTTCTTGGTTTTTTATTTTCTGAAAATGAACGCTGAAGAGTTTGATAAAGGTGGACACACAACATGACGTAATGCAAGGACAGTGGGAGATGGATTGTTCTCGAAATCTGGAGGAAGTTTTGTTTGTAGCATTTGGCACCGGATTCTTTTGGTGATCAGTGGAAATGTTCTCATGTCTGTTCCAGCGAGATCCGGATTTTTTTTTATTCAGGATGTTTGATTTTTCTTTTTGTTTGGTGTGACGTAGATGCAAATCGATGCAAAAACATGCACTTGTTGGAAATCCCTCTTCAGAAACAATTTGACACAATATGGAAAATTCCTGCTTGTGTATTTGAATCAGACAAAGTGAATGAAGCATACTTTTTTTTTTCTAGAATATTTATTTCTGTAGATAACTTCACTTCACTGTTTGCATCCTTGATGTAGACAATTTATTGAAAACACAAACAGAATTTTGGATCAGTATTATGTTTGTATGAGCATTTTTTTCCTTTTTTTTCATAAAATAAACTGGCAAAAATCTATCAGCTTTAAGTTCAGAGGTTTGTGTCTCATGTTAAATGTCCTAATATCAACAATTTTGTACACTTGGAAAATAATGAAGATTACGTTTCCATTACTTTTGACTAGTCACAGCATTTAGCATTCTTCAGGAATATTTATAAATATTAGTAATCAATATTTTAATAATTTATGTAGTTTTAAGATAAATTATTTCATGCTCACATACAATACTAAGTACTTACGAGATTAAAGATGCAGTTTTAATGTTTAAAAGCATGCAAAAGCTTATCACTCAGACAGAAAGAAAACAAAATAAAACTTTAGATCCACGCTAAAAAGCATCGACCTCCCATTCATGCATTTTCATTGTTTCCTCTATCTATCTTTTCTGTGTTTGGGGCATTATTTATTGAAGGCATTCGTGCAGTGGGTGTTCTAAAACTCTTAAAACAATGAACATCCCCAGTCTTTGTCACACTCTGATAGACATGAGCTTCCACATGGAATCTAAAAATGGCACCATTTTATTCCCTTGTTTGCTTTGCAAAGTAACTGCTCTTGGGAAAGAAAGAAAAAACCCAAACATCTAATTGAATTTTTAGTTTTACTGCTGCGGTCTGTGACTGAGCAAACTGTTATTCTGCAGCTAAGCAAAGAAGAGCAGGTATTTCCTCTGTGTTTTGAGCAGTAACCTCTCTAAAGGCGTCTTTACTGTGTGTAAAAGAACTCAATCACAGAACCTAAATTAAATCACTCCATTTGAACGACTCCATCTACAAAACAGTCTTTCTGTGACTCTTCAAAGCTGATAGTGTCCAAACATTTGACTCATCGTAGTGCATCACGCATATCTATCTGCAAACATTTGCTTTTAGTTCTTATCATTTGTGCCTAAAACTACAAAATTAATGAAAATCATTTCCACAAACGCATACAAACAACTCAGATAAACCTTTTCAATTCAGATAAACACCATTAGTAGGGGGCCTATTTTGTAACCTATCATTTAAAACAATGTACATTCTTTATAACGCTAAAGATGCTTTAGATGCTGTGCTCTGATAGAATAATAATTTTTGTTGTCGTTGCCGTTCTCCGATCATAACGTGATCATCCAGCCACATGCGGCCGTGGTCCTTGGGCCGGGGTTAGATGTCCTTGCCGCACTCGGGGCACAGGATGTCATCGCGCTCGGTCAGGAAGCCGCGGCCCACCAGAGACACGGAGCACTTCTTGCAGTTGAAGCAGTCGTTGTGCCACTGGCGCTCCTCGAAGGAGATGTACTTGCTTCCTCCCAAACCTGGCAAAGGAAGAAAATCAGGGTCAGCGTGAGCGAGGGGGCCCTGCTTTTTTTTGGAGCCGCTGTCCTCTGGCCCAGGGCGGTGGTGGTTTTTGGGGTTTACCGCTGATGGGGGTGGTGCAGGAGGCACACTTCTTGGCGTACAGGTTGCAGAAGCAGTTGAGGCAGTAGGGGAAGTCGTCTCTGGAGGTGAACCTCTGGCCCGACAGCTGCTGCTTGCAGCTGGTGCACAGGAAGCAGTCCTTGTGCCAGGGCTGGTCGCGGTAGGTCACCCCGCCGGTGGTGATGGGCTTTAGCAAAAAGGAGGAAGCAGACTGTCTAACGAAGCGCACCTTGGGGCACGGGGAGGGGGCGTCTCTTACCTTCTTGCAGTGCACGCACTGCATGGCAAACTGCTTCTCGTAGCAGGGCACGCAGAAGTTGTTGTTGTCCTTGGGGATGAAGCTCTTGGTGCCGATGGGCTGCTGGCACCTCTGGCAGGTGAAGCACGTCTCGTGCCAGCTGTTTCCCTTGTGCTCCATCTTCCTGGAGCCTAAGAAGAAAGGGGAAATAAAATGCATGGTATTAAAAAGCTAAGGCCGAGGGATGCAGGGCCGTGATGAATAAAATAAAGAAAATTGACAGCTTAAAGAGACAGAACAGAACGAGCTTTAAAAAATCCATAACATATGTACACAAAACCTTTTGAATCCCTTGACTGTCATATCTCTTTTGCTTGACCCTTTAAGAATTTTTTTACTGTGTTTCATCTCTCAATATCGTCTAATCCTATTATAGTGAAATATAAATACATGCTTTGATGGTAAAAAAAAAAAAGTATTTTCAACAAACAGAGCATTGTTGTAGCACTTTTTTTTAACTCTTCTGAAATGGCTGATTTATGCTCTTCTATTTCAAACGCTCAGTTTTAAAGGGCTTAACCTGCTACAAATTGTCATCTAATTGGTCGAAACAAAGTTGAGCAAACCCTTTTCAACCTACTGAACCGAGAGAGGTCTGGCCATGCAGAGGCATGTGAGACAGATGAGGATGACTGTTGGATGATTTTTGGACAGAAGCTGCTCAACTTGCTGTGTTTGGTTACTAAACATGACTCGTATACGTACAGCAACAGAGATAGAAAAATCAAATCATTTTGTATACTCATCCAAAGAACATTTGACTTTAAAAATATTTTACAATAAATATCAGACCCTAAATGTATTGCTCTTCTGAAATAAATTATTTCTCTCCTATTTAACCATGAGAGCTAAAAACTGAACTGCTTTGCGAGGTCACAAGAAATGAATCAGGATGCAGAGTTAATGCAATTATATAATTTTGCATGCTTAAATCCGTTTGCATTTTTTATTCCCACCTGGGATGATGGTTTTCTTGCACTGGTGGCACTTGGATGAGTACTCATTGGCGTAGCATTCGGTGCAAAGGAGCTGCTCGTCCTTGGTGGAGAAGGGCTTGTCCACCAGGGAGCGCTTGCACTGGAAGCATTTGAAGCAGTCCTCGTGCCAGTGGCGGTCCTTATAGGACAGATCCTGCAGGGACATCGGCGGAACAGATAAAACCAGGTTGACGCAGCCTCACAGCAGCGTGAAGGTGTATCATTTTTCTCTTTTTCTTTTTTTTTCTTTCTTTCTGTTTACATTTTTTTTACCCTAGTGTTGCACCCAATGGGCTTTTTGCACTCCTCGCAGGTATTGGAATACAGGCTTTCATAACATTTCACACAGTAGGGATTCTCCTCTCTGAGAACGTACTTCTTCCCAAACAGGGACTCCTTGCAGTAGTGGCAGTCGTAGCGCTCAGTCATTTTGACAAAAGCTTGTTCAGCTGGAAGACAGAAGAGAGAAGAGAAACCATTCTGTTACCATGTTTCTATTTTAAGTTCTTATTGTCCCTTTTCTGACTTTGCTACTTTCTTTACACTGAAGTGAGATGAGCAGTCGGCAGAAAGTGGACTCTTGGAGATGTCGACCCAAAAACGTTTTCTCGCGGCAACATCCTTCACATTTAAGGATACATTGTTTTTCCAGAGTTGTATTTTTCTCTTTTATCTCCCCCTCCCATCTCTTATGTGCCTTTCATTTTACTATCTGTATTGGGAGAAGAGTGGTGAGCGATGGGGAGAATATAAATAGCCCCTATCAGTCCTGCTTAGAAACAGTCAACTATTGCCCTCGCTGCATACCAACGCATACAGCGCCAGTGTGCACTGACCCGAGCACCAGCTCACCTCCAACTGTCAGCACCACATCTCTGTACCCCTTTTCAGTGTGTGTTTGTGTGAACCTATATGCACGCAACAGTGAAGCGACTCCTTTGAAATCAGCAGCTGCCTGTGTTGGGTCGTTCAGACCCTCTGTTGTGGCCTCTACGTGTTGTCCGAGGAAGGTGTGTCTTTCAGTGAATGATACAGATTAGATAGGATAGGAATGGAAAAAAGGTTTTGTTGTTCCAGGGGGAAACTTCTCTACACTCACATGGAAACTAATTTTCATGTGACTGTACTCTGTGACTCCCGAACCAAGCCTCTGCAAATTAAGGAGGTTTGAGAAGAATTGAGAGAAACCCCCCCAAAGGAATTCCTTCGGAGACATTTTTATCTTCTTTTCAGTTTCATGGATTCTTCTTTGACTGAGTTTCTCCCATTTGATGTTAAGTTATTTAAATCTTTGTTCGGTCTTCACTGTCTTTTCTTCCTATCCATCTGCAATTTCTGACTATTCACACCTAGGTATTCTCCGAAAGTAGGCCTGTGAGGGATTTGTGAAAAAGTATTGGTGTCTTTTATTAATCCGCCTGTCCTCTCAATGCTAAGCATTCTCAAAGCCCTCCCACATTCCCTCTTTGTCTACGGCTCCAACCATGACTCACCTAGCTTACATTAGGATTTATCTGACTTCTAAAAATAAAAAATGATAATCTGAACTGTCACAAATAAAATCTCCAGCTACTCAAACACACCCGGCAGCTGTTTTCCTGCTTCTGGGGTCCGTTTGATGTCACCCACCTGGGAGACAGAATACGTGTTTGCCTTTAAAGCTCTGTCTCTGGAGTAACTGTACATGTGTTCTTTACAAAACACATTTTCACAATTGCAATTCCATTTTTGAAAAGTTAATCTAGGACTAGTAGATTTAAATAGATTTTAACTCACACTTCCAGATGTTTTAATGATGTTTAAGAAGGCCTTGATGCATTTTATGTCAGACACAAACTGCTTTACTTTGGCTAACACAGACACATGAATATTCTGCTTCTTGAATGCAGCAACTAATGGGCACATTCCTTGTAAGTTAAACAAGGCTTGAACAAATGTCTCCAATTACAGCTTTGAAAGTGGATAATGGAATTAAACCTGAAAACAAAAAAGTTCTTATCTAAGAATGTTTCACATTTCAGTTCACCCTTTTGAATGAAAAAAGAAAAATGCACATCATTTGGTTGAATTTCAAAATATGTGCCTTTGTTTTGCGACAGCATTTAATAAATGCTTTGTCAAATTGCTGTGGCAAGACTTTGCTGAACTGCATAATGGCAGAAAACCCAAAGAAGGGTGCAAACTATTGTGGCAGTCACCACTTATGAAGTAGCAGGTTGAGTTTTGCCGACAGGATATTTAGAGATGATGAAAAGAAAGAAGGAGAATGTGTAAAGGAACTCTCAAAAGGGGCTAACAAATGTGCAGAATCTTTTATGGTCAGAGATTGAAAAATAAAAGAGCAAACAGGTCATCTCTGAGACAGATGATGAATGGAGTGGTGTTGATGGAAGATGTGGGGGGGAAAAAAGTGAAAACACTGTTCAAGGGGAAAGAGGGAGAAAAACGAGTAGGTGGATGGGGAGGCAGATAGGAGGATGCCAGAACACCGGTGTGCAGCGGTGTCCTCGGGTTGAGAGGAAATGGAAAATGAAATCCAGTGGAGAAAAGGGAGGATGGACAGGTGAATAGATGGAGAGTGGAGCAGCTGAACAGAGTTCGGTCTTACCTTCCTGTCTGAGGACTGTGCTCCTGCGCTGAGTCTGGGGCAGACTGAAGGAGGAGGCTTTGGGTCAGCTGTACTTACTGCTGATTGCATTACTCCACCCATTCACGGCTAATTGAAATTGGGGGAGGGCAGAAAAGGGGCAGGCATTCTTTTTTTGAGACTATCTATAAATACAGCAGCGCCTCACAGAGATAACCCTGAGGCCCTCGTTCACTCGCTCACTCAGTCACCAGTGCGACCATGTGGCCTTTTAAGGTCATTGAGTTGTTGTTCAATCACTCACTCACTTACCGAGTGGTTCACTTGTTCACTCACACAAATCTTTATACCAAAATATTTGTCTTTCTTCCCAGAACAGACTTGTCACATCATTCCTCTCCATTCAACTTCCTGGAGAGAATTCTCCCCTCAGCTCTGCTACTGTTTTCTTTGTGTCAGAAATATCCATTTTTATCATTAGCATAATATTGCACAGAAATACATCTGACCACTGGTTTTCCACACTTTTCTTTTAGACTTTTGCCGAAGATGGAAAGGATGTCTGAGGTCAGATGTCAAAGATGTTTGCACAATGAGGATTGTCCGTTCTCAGATGTCTTTTCTGTCCCATGCCTCACCTTATTTCCCTCGCAGGGGACCACGCAGTTCTCAACCTTAAAGGTGTTGACTACAGTATCCAGGCTTGCTAATGACAGACAGCCATATGGTTTCTAAGAAATTTTTAGCACTATTTTCTGCACCCCCTTACTCTCTTGTTCACACGGCAGCCCCTTCCACTGCTCCCCGTGCTATTTCACTCTCTGTCCAGGGCAGGTCTTCCTGACCCAGGGGTCTCTGGACACCCTCCAGCGAGAAAATGCGTCAGCGCTGCTCCACCAGGATTCAAGTGCTCTATTTGTGGCACCGGCATAAAAGAGTTTGGTGCTCCAGCAAAGCGTTAAATCAGTTTGTTTGTGACTTTTGTCTCTATGGTTATACATGCTTCACGGTTATATGGGTTAAACACCGTGCAGTATACTTTTTGGCCACAGCATTACTCTGGGTTGACAAGCACAGTTGCTGGAGTTGTTTCAGTTGTCTGAACTATCGCCGCAAGTGCTGGATTGATTGCTGTGAAATTGGATGATGTGCTCCAATCGCTACACCATCACTCCGGCAGCACTATAACATACATAACACTACGACATCTGTTGTTTATAAAAAAATAGTTGCAATAGCTATTTGTAAAATGACCAACAAAAAAACTTAAATCCATTCAGTAAGTAATTATTTGAATGTGCATAGTTCTTTAGTTTGTAAATGAATTTGCAAAGAGCCCACTGACTTCGCACCAACTCCAGCTGTGCTTTGTGTCATGTGCTAGCTAGCAAATGTTAGCATCCCCATTCTTTATATTTAGATATTAAACCCGATCCTGCAGCTGCTAAACATTAACTTCCTACATGCTAGCATTTTCGACAGATCAAAGCAAAGCTGACAGTGAGCACAGATTTACAGAGCCACGAGCACCCCTCCACACACTAAGTCTCGCTTAAGTAGCTACGGCAACCACCACAACTGATTTATACACACACTGGTGACATCATTAAAACGTTCAGTACCATTGATTAGCTCTTTACGGTGGGACCTGTAAAAGGTTTAAATTATAGTAGACTCATTGTAGCGAACAGTTGGTTTTTCAAGTCGATGTCTTGGAAGCCGATGAGCAACTCGAACAGGAGCCAGATTGGCAATGGTTGGTACCTTCCAGGTTAAGCTGAAGTAGGACTGATGATGGTCAAGTATGGGTGGTTTTTAATGGCTACCTCATGTAGCTCGGCTGCAAAGAATACTTTCTTTAGCACAAAGTTGTCAGGATGCACGATGCACAGCAACTGGTGGCTGAATAGTGCAGACCAGTCAGAGCTCACATTTATTCATCTCTATCCAGTTGTTCATTCTAAAGGAAGAGCTGGATCATAGATCAATGGCAGATGTTGCCATGGTTTGAAATTCTCTACCAAAATATCTGATCCTTGCTGATCCAATCTCATAACTTAGACTAACAGGACGCACTGCTCGTCTGTTTGTTGTCTCAGAGTACAAGATACATCACAACTCATGGAGAGGGGGTTGCCTCAGTGGGTTGGAGCCGTGTAAGAAACGTAAGGGCGACCTTCTCAAATTGAGTTCAGGTGACTTTAAAGTGAATGACTCATGCAAACAGGAGGTTTTCCAATGCACCAAACAGAGACCTTCTTTTCTGTCAATGTACTCCTAATACCATGTGAAACCAATAGGTTTTAGCCTACGTTCTAGCCTCTAACTGTAGAGCAGTGTGCATGTATGCTGAACAACTTTGGCACAGGCAGATTGGACAAACAGGAAGTTGCATCATTTTGACTAGATTTATAGGTAAAATTGGAGTCAGATGGCAACTGCCAGACAGAAGAGGAATTTGTGCTACCTCTAATGACAAAACTGGAAGAAATGTTTTATCAGATTACTCTCCTTGTAATAGACATGTGGCAGATAGTTTTTATCCCAGGCGTAGTAGACAAATGTTTCAATTCAGTTTATATAACTTCAGACATGTGGTCTAATTAATACCTCAAGGGACAAATCTGTTTAATGCCCGCTTGAAAACAGAGGCCGAGACTGCCCATTAAGTCCCTCTGTCCTTGCCCTTCCTTCCCTGTATCAGGCCTGCATGGGTTACCCCTCCTCCACCCTGCAGACTGGGCTGGGGCCTCCACCTCAGCTGCTAAGGCCAGGGGATAACGATGCAGCTGTCTGGGCACCGGGAGGCCATCTTGATGCTAAAACCTGGAGCTTACAATGGCTGCAAATACAGCCATGTGGAAAGGTCAGGCTA